CAAAATGGGAAAGGAGAAGGAGAGAGAAGGAAGACATATAAAATAATAAATTTAATATTAGAAGTGCTTTAGCAGAGCAATGTATAAAGCTTTGTGAGTATGCAGAAAGGAAGCAATTTTTCACTCTGATTCTAACATCATATACGGCATTTATATTTATTTTTTAAACATATATTCCCATATACTTCCAGTAAGTTACTAACTGAGTTAGTCACTTTCGATTTGTGTTACCAATAGTTTTTGAGTCGTGCCAAGCAATCTACACATATGTTCAATTAGTCTCCCTTGGGAAGAAGCTCATTGTTATAAAACTGCTGGCAGGCTATAGACACATGGATCAGTTTCTTTTTGAAAAATGCAGTGTCTCTATTTATAAAACTAAGTTGAATCACTGTTTATACAATCTCCCAAACTTGACATGCCAGTGCTGTCCTTGGTTTCTCCATTTTTCTTTCTTTCTTAAAATTTTTAAGTAATTTCAATTTTTATTTTAGATTCAGGGGATACAAGTGCAGGTTTGTTACACGTGTATATTTTCTGTTCCCCCTCCTGCAGCTAATTGGCTATGGATTCTCATCAATTCTACATCAGAAATGTCTCTCAATATATGCCCTCTCCATTCCCAAAGCCACTGCCTCAGTTCATAATCCCACTGTTTTCCCGCCTCCTTTTCTCTCATTTCTCCAACCCGAGCTGTCAAGCTTTTTTCCTAAAAAACAGGGCTGATCATGTCATTCTCATGCACAACAATTACCTGCTCACTTTGTGGTCTACAGGATAAAACTCAAACTTCTGAGCTTAGACATAAGGTCCTTCACACTTTGGCTCCAATCTACCACACCCCCACCCTGTGCCACATCCCCTTGCCACATCCAAGATCCTATACTTAGTTTCGTATCACAGGTACGCTAATATCTTCCCACTTTGCTTTGTAACTTATTAGCTGATGTGTCTGCTTCCTCTCTTATGTCCTGTTGTATTGACTCATACAATCTCAAACTCTAACCTAATACCTTGTGTATAGTTTACTACACTGTACTTTTAGTAAATGCAAAGTGAATGAAACAATAGCACTGGCCTCACTCATTCAATGATAACATTAACCATGTTACTATGCATAAATAATAACAGGCTAGGCGTGGTGGCTTGTGCCTGCAATCCTAGTACTTTGGGAGGCCGTGGCAGGTTTATCACCTGAGGTCAGGGGTTCAACACGAGCCTGGCCAACATGGTGAAACCCCGTCTCTACTAAAAATACAAAAATTAGCTAGGCGTGGTAGTGGGGGGCCTGTAATCCCAGCTTCTGGAGAGGCTGAGGCAGGAGGTAGAGGTTGCAGTGAGCCAAGCTCATGCCACTGCACTCCAGCCTGGGTAACAAGAGCCAGAGTCCATCTCAAAATCAATCAATCAATCAATAGGAAATACTTATGTAATATAATATGATAGACATTATTTAAGTGCTTTACCTATATTAGCTTGTTGAAGCCTCATGTCAATAGGTACTCTTATTATACCCACTTACAGATGAGAAAATTGAAGCATAGAGAAATTCCCTAAATTTCCATGAAAGGTAGTAGCTGGTTTTAAGAGAAACAAGCCTATAAACAAAAAAAGAAAGAAACAAAGATTTTGTGTCCAAATTAGTTTTGGAAATCCTGGGTTGAGCAGAGCTAAACAAGTTTCATTGCTGCAGGACTTCTCAGAGTCATTAAACAAACATTGTGACAGTGTGAACTGCCATTAAGGGTGTATTTGCCCTGATTCTCTAGCTACAGAGGCTTTTGGTGGCCAAGCATCTTGTGGGACTAGTGATCTGTGAAACATACCTTGAGAAGCACTGCTGGAGGGATTATAAGTGAAGAAACAAAAGCCTTGGCTGGGAGGGTTATATAACGGTGACCAGGAAGAGAACTCCTCTCAAAAAAAAAAAAAAAAGAAAAACCTGTTATCAATTAACGCTTGTGTGCCTCCTTCTTTTCCTCTCCTCTCCCCATCCGGAAATAGGTCATAAGACCGGAAAAAGGTCTATGGTCTTGCCTAAGGGCAGGCGGTGAACAAATAAACTGTGTAAGACAGTAGTTAATTTTCTTTCTCTTGTCTCTCCTCCTGATTTATAGATATTTTGGTTACACATTAAAAACACATACTCTATAATATTTTTACTGGTATTAAGTATAGTTCTTAAACTGTAATATAAAGGTTTTGATGTTACAGTTAGAAAACTTCAGCAACTTTCTTTATCCAGTTGAGAAATGTACATTAGAGCTGTATCAACCTTCAAATGAGCTTCTAGGTGTTTTTAAAGACAGCAAGCAGGATATAAACAGGGTTAGTAATACACTTGGGTCTGCACCAACTATCTCTGATGCCTCACTATTTGCCTCAGTTTCTTTATCTGCATATTGAAGGCATTTGAATATTAATCTCTCAAGTACCATCTAATTTTAAAATTCAAAAACATGCAAATTGCTCTTCCAGATTCACTGAAGCATAGAACAGAAAAATATTAATTAAATATCTAAACTACATTGGTGAGATTTTTTTTCCCCATTATTATAAAGAAACTTCTGCCAATGAAATTAAATATAAATAGTAGGTTGTGGAAAGCATCATCAAGTGAAGTGAAGAATTGGGGGAAGGAATAAAATTTTTACTGCTTCCTTGGTATAGACAATTTTTTTCGGCTAAAGCAATGGCAGATTCTTATATTCTGGTGCACAGGAACTATATGAATAAAACATGCCTGTGCAAATGAACTCAGAACCTTATTCCAAAGCACCATTCGGGAATAATACATTTAATGTCTCATCAACTTCCCCAGAAAAGTGAGAGTAAACCTGTGCATACAGACAAAACAACCATAACAAAAACCAAGGTAGAAATAAATCTGCTATGGGGAACAGATTTGATCGACATTTGAAGGTTTCAAAACTCTAAGTAATACGCTAGTCACTTAAAAATATTCCCACATTTCTGCTTTCTCCCATCACTCTATGCCTTAAGATTCATCTGTCAATTTTGACGCATCTTTTTAAGTACCCCTTCAAGCCTAACACTCCAGACCACAGAAAAGCCCTCTTTGCTTTGAAACTATCTGATCAATCCATAGATCATTTACCTGCAAGGATTATTTGGTGAAGTTAAAGCAGCACATCAACCAGCAGCATCTGAGGGCTGAGGCGGCAGAACGTCAACAACAAATTGTCATTGGCATTCCATTTATGAACCTTCAAACGGCATCAGATCTTTTCCATGGGAAACCAGATCAGGTCAGACTAGAGCTGAATATTTCTTAACAAGCTAACCATCAAAAGAATTTACGTTTTGAATAAAAAGCCTATCATTTGTTGATTTGAATATCAAAGGGATCCACTGCAAACTCCCAGTCTAGAAAAACCTCCCTAAGCTACACTAGACAGGTGTTTAATAATCTATTATTAAGGCACTATTTTAGGTTACTCAGAATTATAAAAAATAGCTGTAACTGTGAAGCTGCAAATGGGACTGCACAAAGAAATGAATGCTATTAACATACTATTAACAATTCAAAAGAATGAGTTGACATACCAATCAAACTTGTTAATTGACTGTCAATGGCCTGTCCCTGAATATACAACATGACTGCATTATAGATTTCAAATGCTGACAGGAAGACAGTTCCATTTGCATTAACTTCATAAACTGATCAACAACCAAACTGCCACATACATTTATAATGGGAAGCTGAATCATTTCAATATTCATGGAGCTCTGTAATTGTAAATTAGGTACTGGCAAACAATACAATACTGTACATACTCTAAAATATCTGAAATTTCATTGACCTACTTTCATTCTGGTTTTAAAATACAAAAAAAAAGTTTCATCTTGAAGTGATCATTACTTTAATTTGTGGTTTGTGCCTTAAGCAAAATTTGTTTGCACCCCAATTTGCAACTATGGTTTACAGTTGCACTTTGGAAGCATCACTGGTCCAGAAAATATGAGGTAAAAAAGGTAGTGGTTGTTAAAAGGTAAAAAAGTGAGCTTGCCTTACTTGGGGTTTTTGAAAACAGAGAAATATGAAACAAGGCAGTATCGCACTTCCTCAGGTGACATCCGAAGATCCATTATGACAACATATTTAGCAAATAATCATTAACATAATGAAAAGAAGGTCATAAAGTAATCCTGCACTGGAGCCTTCTTAAATCCCCTCAAATAGACCTGCTGTTCTGAAATTAGGCTTTAAAATCTTCAATCATCCATTGGTTTGAGAAGCAATAGAGTAAAAGAGAAGATAAATGAGGGTTGAAGACTATTTCTAACCAAAGTCTCATGATAAATGGTCTGAAATTCAATAGTTACCAGCATGGAGATATTCCATTCAAATGGTTCTATGAGTTCTTCAAGAATGAACACAGAGGGCTTTTTCTTTTCTTCAAAAAGCTGTTTCCTCCCAGAGTTAAATGTTACTTTAGTTTCAGATGTTTTTCTTTGATCATTAGCTAGGCATCACCCCTCTAGCCACTAGAAGTTGCTCAAACTTTGTGTATTAATTCTGGAATATTCTAATGTGTTGCCACAATTTTGGATGCACCAGTTCACTCATAGAGCCTTTAGTGAAGCTGGTCTTGCAATTTTTTTTGACTTTGCAAATTACTGCATACTGTTAAATAACAAAATGAGGTTATTTGTTGGAAGGGAGCAGTTACTCCTAAATAATGAATATGATCCTTAGAAGATTATTTATTCTATCTATTAGGATTGGTTTTTTTTTTCTTTCATCTTTGTCCAACTAAGCAGTGATATATACTCCATAATAGTAACACACACATAATATATGCACACATATGCACGATTTATGCATATATAAAATTGACTTACAATTATAAAAAAAGTACAGTATATAATACACATATTTGTTTGAATATATATACACACCTATATAACATATATATCTTTAATAAACTTAATTTTAGATTTACAGAAAAGTTGCAAGGATAGTACAAAGTTCCTGTATAACCTGAATCCAGTTTCTCTAATTGTTAACATCTTATATTAGTATGGTATATTTGTCATAACTAGTGAGCCAATATTTACAAATTTTACTATTAGCTAAAGCACATATTTAATTCAGATTTCCTTCATTTTTACTTAATGCTCTTTTAATGTTGGAAGATCCTGGCCAGTTACCATATTATTTATAGTCATATGCCTCCTTAGGCTCCTTTGATGGTGACTGTTTTTGAGTTTCCTGGTTTTGAGGACCTTGACAGTTTTGTAGTACTAGTCAGATACTTTCTAGATTGTTCTTTGATTTGGGTTTTCTAATGTTTTTCTCATGGTTAAACCACAGTTACAGATTTTTGGAAGGAAGACCACAAAGTGCCATCCACATAAGTGATATATTTTTATCTCTGAATGTTCTCAACGTATTCAATGTACTAAAATATAATATTTTTTTCTGTTTAGAAATAAAGGGCAAGTTATGTAAATCATCAGCAACAATCTGCAAAAGAGGCTGTGTGTATATAATGGAAAGTGCTTCATTGCTAATTAGCAGTGTAGTAGATGTCAAGATCTGTGTTCACTCTGGGATTTAGCCATGTCTGGGCATGTCCACAGGACTGTAGGGTGGGTCCACGAGGGATCCATTTACAAGAGATGAGGTCAAGAGCCAGGAGATGGAAATGGAAGAACACACATCCTGACCTAAAGGGAAAGAGTGATGTTTACTAGTTTAGTTCAGGGTCAATGAGCAAGCATATCTGGTATGTGTATAAATGTGTGCATAGGAGGAATACTGGGGTTTGTAATGGTTTTGACTTTATCACTCCTGAATTTTAGGGCAAGAAATATGCAAAGAGAATATAAGGAAGACTAAAAAGAGTCTGTTGGTAAACATTAGATGCACTGATGACAGCTATTTGAGGACTGATAAGAATGGGGTGATTTGATAGTGACAGGGGAGTGCTGGTGACTGGGAAAAGAATGGTACCATTAGCACAAAATATAGTGCCATCAATACTGGGCATTATAAGTGTCAGTAGTGACATGGGCAGGCATCACCATGAAAAGATGACATTAGCATAGCATACCAGGAAAGGAGGAGAAAAATAGTAGAAGCTCCATAAATAGGCAAGGGTACTAGTTTTTTGTGTTTATGTAAGTTACTTCTTAGGAACATGTAACATCTTTGGGAAAAATTTATGGGGCTGGAGTGTTCTTAGGGAGGGTAAAAAGTCTAGTTAGAGAAATACGACATCTGGCAGTTGCTTACCTATAGGCTTGAACACAGGTTAGAGACAAGAGGAAGTCACTTATATTCTCTGAGTTTCCATACTCATGATTGAGAGATCTGCACTTCCTTCAAAAAGTTGTTGATTGGAGTGACAGCAATGCTATTAAAAAAGCATAAAAATAAAAAATAATAATACGTTGTTGAGGGATTTGGTAGAGGTGGTAGTGACTTGGAAAGTATAACAACTTCTTAAGTAGACTTGAAGGGTTATATGTAACTCAGATTCAAGAAATGGGGATTTTTTTGTAGAGGTACAAGGTGCTGTAGGAGATAAGATCTGAGAAATGCCTCATGAGTACTGGAACTAAAGTCTTATTCCGGATTGAAGGCAATTAAAAGAACCTCAGCAGCAGTGGTTCAAGAATTCCATGCTAGCACTCAAACAATATTATTTTCTTGGTCTCAGCTTTGTGTGTGTGTGTGTGTGTGTGTGCATTTTCTTACTTATTTTATCATTACAATGCATAGTAAGTAATTCAGCAGGAAAACTTTACCTTGAATAGTACTATCCTCAGAACATAAATGTAAGCAATGAAGGGACTTTATCAGTGGCTACTTAATCCACCATTCCATACAACTTCTCTACCTGTTTGAGTCTGGTTTCTCACGGATTTAGCTTTCTTGTGGAACATCATGGTCCTTCTTATTTATGACATCTTCTATCCACTCTTTTTACCATAGCAGCCCAATAATGGACCAACTCTTATTTTTTTGGGCAAGGTATTATTCTCGTTTTTAGTCTGTGCCAAGACACTTGACAAAACCATTGAATTATTAATGAAAAGACTGTCCTTTGGCCTTACTCGGGCAAAAGACCACTAATCGTGTGAGAGGTAGGGGTGGGGTCATATTACAGCACAAGGAATAGCTTAGAATTGTTTTTCACTAAAAGGAGAAGGATGGGACAGTTTCTCTTAGAAGAGAAAAAATGAACATGCAAGCCTCCAGGATAGTCAAAAGTAATGTAAGACATGAAAAGAGGACACTTTCACTGTGACATTAGTCGGCTTACAAATTTTAAACCAATGCTTTAAAATTTGCTCCTCAGAAAACCATAGAATTTTGGAGTTGGAAAGGATATTAGAAATAATCTCATCTAAATCTTTCATAAGTGAGGGAACTAAAGTCTGGGTTAAATACTAGCTGTAGGTTAGAAAGCTCTTTAGCAACAGAGTTAGGCTTAGAGCTTAATGTCCTTTCTTCTATAAGCTGTCTCAGCAAGCTTAGGGATGAGTTAAGGTAGCAATAAACCTTTATCAAAATAGAAACTCAATTTTCTTTGAAACATGTTCACTTTTTTTTGGCCAATACTTGAACATTTATCCTTTATAAAGTTTCCTAAGGACTCCATTGTTTTCACTAGTTGAAAACATGCTTTCTTTCATTTCCTCAATCCTTTCTCCTTCCCTTACATATTTACTTTACTGCCCCTAGAACTCCGTATGTGTCTTCTCCTTAAGACTCCTACTATGGGCTGGGCACGGTGGCTCACACCTGTAATCCCAGCACTTTGGGATTACTTCGAGGTCCGCCAAGGTGGGCGGATCATGAGGTCAGGAGTTCGAGACCAGCCTGGCCAACCTGGTGAAACCGCATCTCTACTAAAAATACAAAAATTAGCTGGATGTGGTGGCAGGCACATGTAATCCCAGCTACTTGGGAGGCTGAGGCAGAGAACTGCTTGAACCCCGAAGGTGAAGGTTGCAGTGGGCTGAGATCGCGCCACTGGACTCCAGCCTGGGGGACAGAGCAAGACTCTATCTCAAAACAAAACAAAACAAAACAAAACAAAACCAAACCAAACCAAAAAAGATTCCTACTATGTGATCATCCCTTCCTTGCTTTCCCTTCTTGAGTTTTATTAAGGGTGTTCCAATCATATATCTGGAAAGGCAAGCATAAGCCAATACTTCTTACCACACTTTTCTTGAAACCTTGTGGGGTAACTTAAAGAAGAGAAGAAATGGCTTAATTATGAATTATTCAAAGTGGAGATTTTGCTATAAATATGTCTATGCAAGTACACTATACTTCCTACTGGGAGCAGCTGTTCTAACGCAAACCTAATCATATAAAAAAGTATACATTCCTATTATTACTAACAGTATTCATTGTAAGTAATATAAAATAGATAATAAGATTTCAATTATAAAGCACAGCTTCACAGCATCAGCTTCTGGAACATGTTCTACATCTCCTTTTTATATTTGAAATAATGATACTGACAATTTCAAACAAGTTAACTGAGATATAGAAATATGTGATGTTGCAACGTTTACTACACAGAATGCAGTGAAGGACCTCGAAGTAAGCTCCTCCCCACCTTCGTCTCCAAAATAAAGCCACTGAGCAGCCAATATAAGTCCTAAAACAACTGCATGCTTGAGCTCTCATACAATCTTAGTTTCTCAGTTGCTTCCTGCAAACTTATTTTACTTTAGTTATGGTCACACAAAGCTTCTTGTCTGGATTTTCTGCCTGTAATATGTTGAACATGACAAATTGGAAAGAAGCAGAGAGGGAGTCTCTAGACTCAGGTCATAAATGATACCAAGAAGTGAAAGCAAGTCAAATGGTAGCCAGGGAGGAGACATAAGACCCACATAAAGCAAGTACAAATGCTCAGAAATCCAAGCTGGAAAAAATAGTCCAATTAACCCCAATAATCTTTGGGAGAATTACTATTTTAGAGTAAATAATCATTGTTCATGCCACCATGCATCTTTAGGAACAAATACAATCTTCAGAAGATTCTCTTTCTTTTTTGAGATGGAGTCTTGCTCTATCGCCCAGGCTGGAATGCAGTGGTGCAATCTCGGCTCACTGCAACCTCCGCCTCCTGGATTCATGCAATTCTCTGCCTCAGGCTCCCAAGTAGCTGGGATTACAGGCACCCACCACCATGACCGGCTAATTTTTGTATTTTTAGTAGAGACAGGGTTTCATCATGTTGGCCAGGCTAGTCTTGAACTCCTGACCTCGTGATCCACCCACCTCAGCCTCCCAAAGTGCTGGGATTACAGGCGTGAGCCACCGTGCCTGGCTAGGAGATTCTTTTTAAAATCCAGGATAAAGTGAAATATATTTTAGAAGAATTTTATTTAAAATATTTAAATAATATTAAATAATTTATTATTTAATAATAAATTAAGTAATCTGAAGACTTCATTTATAAAAAATGTTTTTCCTGTAAATTTGGGATAAATGAAGTGATTTTATGCAGTGATTCCGCAACTCACTTCAGCTCTATTAAAAATTCAGACATAAATTTTCATTTATTTTAGCTACTTCTTTTTTTTATACCTCCTTCCCTATCTCAAGGGGAAAGTTCCTTCACAATTGTGTTATCTTCTGGTCTTATTTTTTAGCCTCTGACCTCAGGCAATCCATTTCAGAAAGCCTCTCAATTCCTTCAAAGTATCCTTTTCTTTGTTTCCGGATGTACTGGGCCTAAGGACATCAATATGATCTGTCTAGGATTCTGGAAAAATTGTCACTTAGTGATATTCATTAATTTTTCTTGAAGAACTCTAAGTCTTTCCATTTATTTTATATATTCTTCATCACATTTTAACACCTACACATTCTTATAGTTATTCATGTCTTGACTATTGATTTACAAAAGGAAATTCCCGGAAGTCAAAATGCACAATCTATTATATCAGTTCTTGTTGGAATTTATTTCTGCATACCTCAGTCCTTCTTGCCCCATTTCCTTCCCGGATGATTAACTTTTTTCTTTAATGAGATGCCCCAAATACATTCCTTATGCAGTTTCACCAGCCTTTTATAGAGAGAGTTGATCCTTCCTGATGCAGTACAGCCATACAGCGTGCCTCTGAGCACAATGCCATAATCACACCACTTTCTTTGCTGTCATGCAGAACTGGAAACGTTCAGCTGATCTGAAATCCAGTATTACCTAGAGGTCTTTGTTAGCATTAAGGGTTTTTGTTTCTGTTATTGTTACTTTCTTCTTCCTTCTCTCGAAGATCTTTTTTCTGTGTTTTTTAGTTCAGCTTGAATTTAACTCTTGACTTCTCAAAATTATTTGGCATAAACTTTACATATATGGTAGAAGTACTTAGGTTAACCAATGTTGATGTCTCATGATGAAGTAGGAATACAAATCTATAAAGTCAGTTTAAAAAAAAAGGCTGGACATGGTGTCTTATGCCTATAAGCCCAACACTTTGGGAGGCAGAAGCAGGATGATCGCTTGAGCCCAGGAGTTTGAGACCAGCCTGGGCAATATAGTGGGACCTTGTCTCTACCAAAAATTAAAAAGTTATTTGGGTGTGGTGGCGTACGCCTGTAGTCTCAGCTACCTGAGAGGCCAAGGTGGAAGGATGGCTTGAGCCCAGGAGGTCGAGGCTTCAGTAAGCCCTGATCTCACCACTGCACTCCAGCCTGGGCAACAGAGCAAGATCCTCTCTTAAAAAAAAAATGAAACTATTCCTATGAATTACAAAAAAGAATGGAAATTTTAAGTTAGTGTGGTCCAAAACATAGATTAAAATAGTTTCACCTGAAGCTACAGTCATAAACAGAAGTAACTGTATGATGAAATATAGCATCTATATTTCAAAGGTGACAGGGGTGAAGACATACAAAAAAGGGTCCTCATGACAACTACTGTATATGGTCCATGTACTTTTCTCTGTGTTTACTACTTTGGGAGTTCTGTGCAATACAACCAATGAATGTGTTAGAAAGACTACTCATAACTCAAGATTCTATGAGTCTATTAGTTTATTTACAGTTATACTTTTTTTCTCTATTTCATTAAGGATTTAAATTATATTTATTACATGGTGGCCTCCAGAGCCCTTCCAGATTTCCTATTTAAAAAGTGATATCACAATTTTTCATGAAATCTCCAAAGAGCTTAAAAAATAAGATAAACACACTTCATAAAAATTTCTAATTAATTCTAATAATGACTCAGAATACATTTAATTCATACTTACTAATTTGCCATAAGTATTTAAAAAATGTTTTCTATGTGATTTTTTTAAAAAAGATATCTTAATGAATAGCCATTTAGGTAAGATCTTCTTTAGTTCCCAACTGTATAAACATCTCTTTATATCTTGCTGG